CAGGTACTAGGACCTGCTGTAGAGTGTGTGCAGTCTCATAACTGGATCCACCATGTACCACATCATCAACCCAGACTCCAGCCCTGCTGCCTCACATGATATGCAGGCCCACTGTTAATGCCAGTACCACCACTGCCATGTACTGGAACTCTGCTCATTTGTCTCAGAAGTGCAGGTCCACAAAGGCACCAGTGGAGCAAATCCACCACCAATGCCTGGAATTGAATCAAATCTCAGTCCCAACTGGGAGCTTGCAGGATCCCTGGGTATAGATTTATGTTTCAGCTCTTCTTCTGCCCAGGAGCCACATACCAGTGATTGTTCCCCTCCAGAGCAAACTAAGAAAATGGCTGTGTCTGAACCTCACTTCTCTTCTAATCAAAATGCTTGCCAACAATTGTGCTGAGCAAGGTCATGTGGGATGGCAGGGAAGCCTGCTATGGCTGGCTTGCATTGCACCCCTCCCCCTCCCATTGTGCACCAGCAGTGTTGCTTTTCATGAGGGTCTTAGGCTGTTTTGCTCTGCACACTCCCAGCATAAGTCTGCACGACTCCAGTCCCCTGAGGCTGCCTCTGCACAGTGAGCCCCAGTCCTCTTCTTGGGCTTATCCACAGAAGCTAAAGTTCCAGAATCCTTGCCCAGCCCACCCTGTGTCTTGAGCGTAGGGTTGCAAATACCGTCTGTTCCAATTTCTCTCAGTTCTGTCTGCCAAGTGGCTGTTGCTTTCTCCTCAAGCCTCTGAAGCTCTCTTTCTGTCTACATTGACCACTGGATGGACAGGGGTCTTCCAATAGTGAGGGTGCTTTTCCTCCGTTGCCACTCTGTCCCTGGGGTACAGGTCTCACACCAATTTCTTTTTCTTTTTTCCACACCAGTGTTGTGTGAATTTCCTTGTATTTTCAATGCAAGATATATTCTGCCAAAGTTTATTAGGTATTTTGTGTGATTTTTTCCATATACAGATGTAGATTTTGCTGTATTCATAGAAGAGGGTGAGTTAGGCGTCCTACTACTCCTCCATCTTGGCCTTACCCCCGTCTTCTTTGTGATAACCATCTTAGTGGCTATAATATATCTCATTGTGGTTTTCATTTGCAGTTCTGTATGAGCTAATTATTTTCTTTTTAAAATGAGAAAGTAAAATATAATATAAAAATTGATGTGTCCTTTGCCCCTCATCCCCAGGTACAAGCATGTTTCCCTTTCTCTCCCTCTCTCCTGTACAGAAGATACAGCCACTATCCTCGATATGTTATTCTGCCTTTCAAGTATATTCTTAATAATTCTATGTGTTTATCAATTCAATATTGAATAATAAATGTTAGTACTTTTTCTGCCTTTAATTTTTTCATGTATTGTCATACTGTACATTTTCTGTAGTTTCCTTTGTCCACTTGAACATTAAATTTGTGATTTTTATCCATATTTATATATGTATCTTTAGATAATTTATTTTCACTTCTGAAATTATAATATGAATAACTTGAAGTTAATTTCCCCTTCCTCTTAGAAAGATTTTAATTTTTCCCATTATATACACCATGCATACGTGTCAGAATTTCCCTGGCTGTATGTATAATATTGGGATTGTTGACTCATAAAGTATGAAACATCTGCTATATAAGATATTGTGACATTACTTAGTATACTATATTATCAGTTAGAATTCTGCTAGAGCTATATCAGCAGTTTGATTTCTATTTTTGCTAGTATTTGATGCTGTTACACTAATTTATTTTTTACCTTTTTAAATTGAGTTATAGTCATTTTAAAACGTTGTGTCAAATTTCAGTGCAGAGCACAATTTTTCAGTTATATATGAACATACATATATACATTGTCACATTTTGTTTTTGCTGTGAGCTACCACAAGATCTTGTATATGTTTCCCTAGCTATACAGAATTATCTTGTTTTACTTTTCTGCATATACCTGTCAGTATCTACAAATTTGGAAATCCCATACTGTCCCTTCCCACCACCCTGTCCCTTGGCAGCCACAAGTTTATTCTATGTCTATGAGTCTGTTTCTGTTTTGTATTTATGTTCTTTTTTTTTCAGAGTCCACATATGAGTGATCTCATATGGTATTTTTCTTTCTCTTTCTGGCTTAATTCACTTAGAATGACATTCTCCAGGAACATCCATATTGCTGCAAATGCCATTATGTTGTCAGTTTTTATGGCTGAATAGTGTTCCACTGCATAATTATACCACCTCTTCTTTATCCAGTCATCTGTTGATGGACGTTTAGGCTGTTTCTTTGTCTTGGCTATTGTAAATAGTGCTGCTATGAAAATTGGGGTGCAGGTGTCATTTTGAAGTAGGGTTCCTCCTGGACAGATGCCCAGGAGAAGGATTCCTGGGTCATATGGTAAGTCTATTTCTAGTCTTTTGAGGAATCTTCATACTGTTTTACACAGTGGCTGCACTAAACTGTATTCCCACCAGCAGAGTTGGAGGGTTCCCTTTTCTCTACACCATATCCAGCATTTATCATTTGTGGTCATTTGAATGATTGCCATTCTGGCTGGTGTGAAGTGATACCTCATTGAAGTTTTGATTTGCATTTCTCTGATAATTATTGATATTGAACATTTTTTCATGTGCTTATTGATCATTTGTATGTCTTCCTTGGGGAATTGCTTGTTTAGGTCTTCTGCCCATTTTGGATTGGTTTTTTTTTTCTTATTAAGTCATATGAGCTGCTTATATATTCTGAAGATCAAGCCTTTGTTGGTTTCATCATTTGTAAAAATATCTCCCATTGAGTAGGTTGTCTTTTTGTTTTACTTATGATTTCCTTTGCTGTGCAGAAGTTTGTAAGTTTCATTAGGTCCCATTTGTTTATTCTTGCTTTTATTTCTATTGCTTAGGTAAACTGCCCTAGAACATTTTAAAGATGCATGTCAGATAATGTTTTGCCTGTATTTTCTTCTAGAGGTTTATTGTGTCTTGTCTTATATTAATGTCTTTGATCCATTTTGAGTTGATTTTTGGATATGGTGTAAGGGAGTGTTCTAGCTCTTTTGATTTACATGCTGCTGTCCAGTTTCCCCAACAACATTTGCTGAAGAGACTATCTTTATTCTATTGTAATTTCTTGCCCCCTTTGATGAAGATTAGTTGACCAAAAGTTTGTGGGTTCATTTCTGGGCTCTCTATTCTGTTCCATTGGTCTATATGTTTGTTTTGGTACCAATACCATGCTGTCTTGATAACTGTAGCTCTATAGTATTGTCTGAAACCTGGGAGAGTTATTTCTCCAGGTTCTTTCTTTCTCTCCAGTAATGCTTTGGCAATTCTAGGTCTTTGACGGTTCCATATAAATTTTATTATATTTGTTCTAGTTCTGTGAAATATGTCCTGGGTAATTGGATAGGGATTGCATTAAATCTGTAGATCGCCTTGGGCAGTGTGACCATTTTAACAATATTGATTCTTCCAATCCAGGAGCATAGACACAAAAAAGATTATACATCATGAGCAAGTGGGGTTCATCACAGGGACACAAAGGTGGTTCTACGTATGCAAATCAATCAATGTAATACATCAACAAGAGAAAGAACAAAAACCACATGATTATCTCAATAGATGCAGAGAAAGCATTTGATAATATTCAACACTTATTTATGATAAGAACTCTCACCAAAATGGGTATAGAGGGAACTTATCTCAACATAATAAAAGCTATATGCAACAAACCTACAGCCAGCATAGTACTCAATGGTGACAAACTCAAAAGCTCCCCACTAAAATCTGGGACAAGACAAGACTGCCCACTATCACCACTCCTATTTAACATAGTATTGTTAGACTAATTTTTTGTTATCAGTGCAATTGATGAGAAATGATATGTCATTGTGTTTTAATTAAAAATTTCCTGGATTACTTTTGATGTGTTGAAGCTTCTCTTATTTTTCTGGCCTTGCAAGATTCTTTGTTAAATTTTGTTATTTTTTCTGTTTTTTAAACAGCTTTTTTCCTCTTTCTATTGTTGATCTATAAGGTTTCTTCATATATTTTGCAGAATTACCCTTTCATTTTTATGGTGCTAATAACTTCTAGTGTTTTGCTTATCTTTTATCTTTGTTTATAACTGCTTTGTTGAATAAAGCTATATAATATCTTGAATGAATAAATCTTATATTTTGCAATTTCTGCTTTTATGTCCTGTTTACAAAAATATTTCTGAAAACATTTATTATGAAAATTTTACATGTATTTTCTTTGAAATTTTAATGTTTTATTTTCCACAGGGAAATATTTATATACATTCTGTTTTGTTTATGATAGGATATAGAGAAATAAATATGTGTGTATATATATATATATATGTATATATGTATATATATATGTATATATATGAGACTGCCGAACGGAACGACCACGAAGGGGGA